TCATAGGGGAGGCAGCCGATTGATGTTTCTCTCTCTCTCTCTCTACCTCTCTCTCAAACCAATAAAAACATATCATCCTTGGGTGAGGATTTAAAAAAATTTTAAATAAACACACATATTATTGAGATACCTACTACATACTCAACACAGGTATGGAGCCCAGTGGGGGGGGGGGCATGCACCGGTGTATAAATGTGGGCCAGTGACAGGCTGAGGGTCAGCTAAGTGAGCACCATCCTGCTTAATCGCTCTATTCATTTAACAAGTGCTTGCTGAGTGCCGGCCATGGTCTAGGCCCTGTTTCAGGCTGTGGATTAAAGATAATGAAGGCAAGTAAGATTCCTGTTTTCCTAGAACTTACATTCTAGTGAAGGGAGAATTTAAAAACAAGTGAGGGTAAACCCCATAAAGCTGTATACTCACAATGGGTAAATTTTATGGTGTGTAAATTGTACCACAATAAAGGTTTAAAATGGAAGAAACCTTGGCCCTGGTGGAGCTGGCTCCAACGCAGTCAGTTCTCATTCTTCACAGATGGTGTACCTCCCAGTGCTCCTCTGCACTAAAATTTATTTGTAACCTCAAAATCAACACTCCCAGTGATTTTGGGTCCCTCATGGACACACACAGAACAGTGAAAATTTGAGTCACCCGATACACGCTGTCCCAGCTGAGGTCCAAGAAGATGACGCTCTGCCTTCTTGTCTCAGCTCTCCTGTAAGCAAGTGTCCTTTTTACCATCTATTTAGTGCCACTTTGTTTGTTTGTATTTTTGTGCTTTTTATTGGTTATTTTGCTGTTTAAAATGGCCCTCACATGTGGTACTGACGTGCTGTCTCGTGTTCCTAAATACACGGCTGTTATGTGCCTTACAGAGAGCATACATGACTTATGGCGCTGTTGGTGTTCACACTTCAACAGTATCTATTCAATACAGCTTCTTAAAACAGAAACACACACAAAGCAAAGTTATGCATTGATCCGTTGGTGGAAGTGTTGTGAACAGAGACTGGTAGGAACCCAACCTTGTCTTTCCCCTAGGAGCAATGGTGCAGCGTTTGCTAATTTGGTCTTCACAGTGACTTCATAGAACGGAACTACTGTGAATATCAAGAACTGGCTGTCTGTGCAGGACTGTGGCAAGAATGTGTGTACAGCCCATATGACAAATGTCTGTCTTCCTTTAAAGAAAAAGTGGGTTTAACACTCTCACAGAGGGCCTGTTCTATTTGGCTGAGCTTTTCAGTATTAAGCATTCAGGGTACCCCTGTGGGAGATGTTGATGAAAAGCACTAGTATGTATGAGGAAGATTTAATTATATAACCACTTACTTATATGTTGTAAATAAGTGGTCACCCAGTAAACAAAAGGTGGGCCTATGCATTTTCCATGTAACTATACTTTGAATACTGTCATGTACGTTGGATAGATTTTTACCTGGGTCTCTATGATTCTGCAACAACCATTTGATTCACAGAGCTAAAAAAGTGATTTAAATATTATTTAACAAGTTGTAGCTCTGTAAAATTGTTTTTAGTCTTTAATCTCTTGGGTCAAGTTGTGTAGTCACAGTTCAAGCTGTGATGTCAAAGTATAATGAAATAAATCCCAAATGGATAAATGCATGGAAAAAGCTCCCAGAGAATTAGCCCCAAACGTGTGGAGGGAGGCATGAATATGGGCTGGGAAAAGGAAGGAAAACGAAGAACATAGAGTGAAGATTAGGTTTTTTCTTTACATATTTTTGAATTGTTTAACTTTTTGTTTTTTTAATCCTCACCTGAGGATGTATTTTCATTGATTTTAGAGAGAGAGAGAGAGAGAGAGAGGAGTATCGATTTTAGAAACATCGATCGTTGTGTGCCCTATCTGGGGATTGAACCCGCAACCTAGGTATGTGCCCCAACCAGGAATACAACTGACAACCTTTTGGTGTATGGGATGACACTCTAACCCACGACCATGCAGCCAGGGCTGCATTGTTTTACTTTTTAAAAGGATGTGTGTTTCTTTTGAAGATGAAATAAAAATTTACTTAAAACATAAATAAATTCTATGAGGAACATAGAAAGGTTCTGAGACAGAGACTGGACAGAGAGGCCTGCTCTGAGGGGTGAGAGGGACGGGCTCTGCGTGTGTGCCTCTCAGACTTGGCTGCACACTAGAGTAGAGTGCTCTGGGAGCTGGCCGACATGCTGATGCCCCAAAGGGTCAGGCTTAATTGGTTGGGGGTGTCCCAGGCGTAGAGTTCTTAAAAGCTGCCCCAGGGACTCAAATGTGCAATCAGGGTTGAACTCCAGCTCTCTACACATGGAATTATAATGTGTCATAGAAATGGACTCTGGTCAGCCTAAGGAAGCTCTCTGGGGGGTTTGCGCGGTTGGTGGGGGCCTGGGGCACTCCAGAGGCACGGCTGTGGGAGCCACAGCAGAACAATCTGGGTAGGCACACGACACTGACCAGCTCTTTCTTCATTCCTGCCCAAGGTTCAGAGCCCAGGAGAGGTGTCTCATTGGCTGGTCTACTGTCCTGGGGAGAGGGTCTGCCCTTTCTCTTTTCTTGAAAAAGGTGGTCACCAGAGTGGCCCCCACACCTCCCCATTCTCACAGCTGGGGTGAGGTGTTTCCTCAGGAAATTCCGGTGCCGTTAGGAAGGGGGGGATGGATGCTGGTCAGCAAAACCCCACAGGTCCACTTCACTCTGCTCCATGAACTTCAAAGATGAGTGACTTTCCTGAGTGAAACAGATTTGTGCGTAGGGCATGGTATAGTGTTAGGCAAATATCTTCCTCCTGCCCACCTGCTTGCCTTTCTCCTCTCTTCCTCCTTTCTCTCATTCTGTCCAGCTTCCTCTGATCGTCCCTCACCAGGGTTTCAGCCTGAGGAGACCGGGGTTACCCTCCCTGGAGTCCTAGCAGACAGCTTGGGCAGGTGGTCAGGCCAGGGGCGACCAGTGCAAGCAGAGTGCGGGCGGAGGGAGACCACACGGTTGGGGTGGCAGAGGTGGCGAGGCTCAGGTGTTTAGCAGCTACACGGCTCTCCAGGAGAAGGCTGTGGGTGAGGGGCGACCAAAGCCAGCTTGAGTCACAGCACCAGGGCACAAATATAGTTGAGTGAAGCGAGCGCAGACTCAGCTTTTGATTTTTCATCCTATCCAGGGAGCACTAACTGAGCACCTACTGTGTGCATGTGGTTAGTTAACTCGAGAGGGTATGAGGACAGGTGAGATGGCACAGCCCCTGCCCCGAGGAGTGCCACCTGAGGAGAGGATACAGGAGTGCAGGAGGTGATGGCACAGTGGGGTACACTACAGAGCACTTCCTGAGGAAAAGACTTACCCTGTCAGCAAGTGGGGAAGGCTTCCAGGGGTTGCAGTTGAGCTGGGTTATGAAGGATGAGTGAGGTTCTGATCTGTAGGGTTTTGGGGGGGCAGGATACAAAGTGAAGGGGACTAAACCCCCTAAAAGAAAGAAGTGAGTAGCACATTTTTGTGGAAATAGAGTACCATTTTGTGGAAGTAGAGGTGCTTGGACTGGAAGGGAGGTCAGTAGCACCGAGGAAGGTCCTGGGAAAACAGTAGTGAGATTTGGGGCGGGGTTAGGAAACACCTGTGTATTCGGATAGGGCTTTGTGTTTTCCAAGGTGCCTTCTCACACCTAGTCTCATTGGACTTTTCCCGGAGAGCTTGACAGAACATGTCTGCGACAATAGCCCACAGGAGGAGGCTGGTGCCTCACTGTGCACAAAGAGCAAATGACACCCTGGAGAGAATTGGGTCTGGTTGGTGGGGAGAGACTTGCGCTTCAATGAACAGAGAAGGCCAAGGACAGTAACCTGCCTCCGGGCAGCCAGGAGTCCCAGTGACGCATCTGAGGGGCTGGGATGCATCATTCCTGGTTCCCAAGCTGCTTTTGCTACACCCAGTGTTTCCCGCACACCCACAGTGCGCCCTTTAAACACTTTTGTTTAGGGGAGAAGCAGTAACGCTTTATTGATGAGGTGGCTCCAGAGGCCTGGAACAGCCTGGATCTCGCCTCCTCCCCTGGCCTCCCACATGCTCTAGAACAGTATAGGTGGTGCTTCTCAGCCTCAGCTGCACATCAGAAACATCTGGGGAGCTTTAGACAGTGTCACCCAGACCAGCCAGGGTACTACAGATATCCTTGATCTTACAGACAGGGAAAGTGAGGCTTGAGGTGTCAGATGACTTGCTCGTAGTCACACAACCAGCAAATGGCAGGGGCAGATTGGAGCCCAGGCAGCTGGCTCTTGAGTCCAAGCTTCGAATCCCCACATTTTGTAATCTCTCCCTTACAGGCCAAATTGCCAGAGTATGGATTTGCCAGGTGGCAACCACAGTTGTTGTGGGGTTTTTTCCCCCCACAACACAACTAAGATTTTAAAGGCAGCTTTTGAAATAAATAGGCCAGCAGTGTGGGGTGTTATGCCTTGCCCCATGCCCATAGTAGGGTAGATGTGATATTAGCAGCTGGAATTCTCCGTTTCTGAAGCTCAGGTTTAGACTTTGGGGCTGTTGTCCACTGTGTAGTTAACCAACATGCTTGGGGGAGCTTCAGCTAGGTCCTAGGTTTCCAGAGGCTGGAACCTCATCATCTGTTAGTTTCCACTTTCAATGCTTGGTATCTAAACTGAACGAATGAACGAACGAACGAATGAATGGCAGAGAAATTTGTACCCTTAGTTTGTGAGCTCTCGGCTAACTAAGCACAGCTTATTTTATTCCATCTGCAGTGAGTACAAGTCTAGGTACCGTGCAGGGCCCAGGGTGGTTTTGTTTTTAGGGCAGGTGTTGGGAGAGAGGTCGTTAAATGGAAGAGGTAAACAGCCAGCTCACTGGGCACTAGGTAAAACCCTTCATTGGAGACGCCTGTGAGCTGAGATGGAAAAGGGGTGGGCCCTGGGGGCTGGGGGCAGGCTCCACTTGATTCTTTAGATGTGACCAAGAGGCTAAATTGGAACTCCTTTTCTTTATTTTACAGGTCACTGCCAAGACGGCCTTCCTATTTATTTTACCTCAGTATAACGTCAGCGTGCCTACAGCAGGTAAGCAGAACACTGGTCTCTCTTTCCCTGGCCCTGTGAACGCTGAGGACTCGCATAACTTCCTTTCCCTGTGCACACGTGTGGTCCTTTCAGACTGTGAAACTTAGAATCCAACATCCCTTGCCGACGGGCTATTTCAAGCCAGAGTTCTCCCGTGAGGTGGCTACTTTTCTGTCGTGCCCGGTCAGCAAGGTGTTTAAAATGACAGCTGTAGGTCACATTCAACTGTCGGCCACGGCTCTGCAGGCGTGGGGTGCTCAGGTCCTAGCACTGGCAACCAGGCACGCTCCTCTTTCTCACTGCATTCACCCCCTTGGCGAATAAGGAATGTTTGTTGGCTGAATGTAATGTTCTGTCCTCATTCTGTTGTAGAGAGGTGAGTTGTCTGACGTTATGGTGACATTCCTTTCTTTGCCTGACTCCACCAGTGACTAGATGAGGAACTTTGGGGGCAAATCTCTTAATTCATGGCCTACAGAGAATGTAGCTGCGAATCTCTTCTGGACTTGCCTGCACCCTGCAGTCGCTGTAGCCAGGCTCTGGGGCAGCCAGAGCAGTTCCTTCTTGTGAGAGTTGACTAAGGGATGCTGGCAAGAGAGGGCAAAGACCCCGTCCTCATGAAAGAGATAGGAAGTGCCATGGCCAGCGCCAGTAGACAGGAAGCTGGGCAGATGCCTGCCCATCCCAAGGTGCATGTGTGCTCTGGTGGCACAGTGGATTGCTTGCTCAGTGCCACTTTGTCCATGGTCAAAGCCAGGCTTCTCTACTCCTAGCTCTTGAAAATCCTAGAGACTAAGACACCTCTAGACCTAGCTCAACTTATGATTTACTGATTTAAAACTTTAAAATTTTAAAAATTATGGTAAAATAAAGATAATGTAAAATTTACTATCTTAACCATTTTTAAAAATATATATACTTTTATTGATTTCAGAGAGAGGAAGGAAGAGGGAAAGAGAGAGTTGAAACATCAATGATGAGAGAGTCGTCATTGATCGGCTGCCTCCTACGCACCCCTGACTGGGGATCGAGCCCGCATCGCGGGCATGTGCCCTGACCAGGAATTGAACCTTGATCTCCTGGATCCTGGGTCAATGCTAAACCATTGAGCCACGCCTGGCTAGGCTATCTTAACCATTTTTAAGTATACAGTTCAGTGGCATTAAGTACATTCATGTTGTTTTACAGCTATCACCACTATCCATCTTTGGAACTCTTAATCTTATAAAACTGAAACTCTGCACCTGTTAAATAATAACTCACAATTCCTCCCCCACCCCAGCCCCCCACAACCACCACTCTACTTTCTGTCTCTATGAATTTGACTATTCTAGGTACCTCCTGCAGGTTGAACCATACAGTGTTTGTCCTTTCGTGACTGCGTAAAATTTAATTTTAAATAAACCTTTTTCAAAATACATTCACATGAGTGCTGCATGTCTTTCAGAGAAAATTTATAAAATACTGATAAACATAGATCAAAATTACAGATGACCCTACCACCCAACAAAAAAGGCAATTCACATTCATAATCTACTTCTTTTACTGTTAGCATGCGGTGAACCTTTTTTCCATGTCATTAATTGTTATTCCATTCAGTAAGACATTTTGAAAAGCTATAAAGTATTTCTTAATAGGGATTACCACAAGTTATTTGTTCCATCTCATACTATTGGATATTGAAGTTTCCAGTTTTTATTGTAAACAGTGCTACAGTAAAATTCTCGTGGCTAAATTTTTGCATGTATTCATCATGTATTCATGATTATTTTCTTTCCTTTTTTTTCATTTATTTTTTGTGATTATTTTCTTAGGATAAATTCCTATTACTAGAATTTCTGAGTCAAGTAGTATGCAAAATTTAAAGGTTTTATATATGTACTGCCAAAATACCCTCTGCCATCTAATTCTTAGGACCCTTAAATTCTAAGTTTTTTGTAAATATAAAATACATCGGCTTTTCTTTTTTTTAATGTTAGAATGCCAATTTATTAATTGATAAAGAGATATTCAGCTATCAAATGTAGTACCTGTATTTTCATTACATTTCTCCCTGAAGTTAATTTACATAGGATTCCAGACCATGACTCCACACAGCTTTATGAATTTACCTCGAGAAAGCGATGTCCCGGGGACAGAGCAGCTGATGTGCATGTGACCAGGCAAGCCTTTATTATAGGATGGGACTATCTTTAAAGCCAGATCATGATCAGAGGGTTAGTTTTTAAGTTAGAAAACTTTCTTAGAGAAATCAGCAGATTTCTAAAAGCATCCCTTTCACAGCCAGGATGAGAAGCATGGCCAGTATGGCCAGGGTTGAACTCAGAGCCGCTGAGCATAGAGAGCATCCCACTGTGTTTTGATCAGTATTGATCATATCATGCCTTCATTTGTTTTAAATAATTAATTGATCAAGCCAGACAAATGTTTGTGTGCCTCCCATGCACCAGGCCCTGGGTATAATTTATAAAACATGACTGCTCTCTGACTCACGGAGCTTACCATTTGATTAGGGAAGGATCAATAATAAACAAGCAAACAATAAATAATTATAGTTGCAATAAGGGTGGTGAAGGAAATATACAAGGCTACGTGATCAGGAAAAATAAAAGGGTGATGATAGAGGATGTTTCTGAGAAGCTGATATTTGAGCTGCGTGTGTGCAGGAAATTGTGTTGGGGGCATAAGGAGAGGGGACTGTGTAGAAGAAAGTACATTCCAGGCAGAGGGATCAGCATGTGCAAAGGCCTCAAGAGAGAAACAAACAGCGTGGCACTTTTAGTAAATGAAGGCCAGTGTGGCTGGAGCCAGCTAGGTTTGGCATTTTCTAGGGCAGGGCTTTTGAATCTTCCTCCCAGCTGGAACAAGGCCTGGGTCAAGGTGAAGGTCCATTAAAATTCATACTGAATTGAGGAGGTTTCAGTTACTGTAGAAAGGGAGGAATAAAGTATTGTCAAATAGCATATCTTTTGTTTAAATCTTGACATTTGGGGCTATTTGAAATATGACAAGCAAGTAATCGCAAGAGACAATGAAATCAGAATAGCCTGCTTGATTTCGTTTTGAGCTCTCTAATCACCAACCCAGTAATGTTTGGTTTGTAAGTACCGGAGGAAAGCACACTTCTCGTGGGAAAAAACCAGTTCACAATAACTGGTCTGTTGAGGTTGCGATTTTAAACCCCCCCCCCCCCCCCCAGTCTCTTTAAGGCTGGAGGTACTTTGTGTAACGGGGCTCAATTCTGGTTTCTAAGGTTTCTCCTTTATATAGCATGTAACTTGTTAACTTGATGTTTAAAGCTTGAATTTTAGTAGAGTGGTGTTTTTGTGCCTTGGCTTACCACTTCCCTCAGCCAGGCTTTCAGGTTCGACGGAAAATAGCTAACGGTGGTGCTGACGAGGTCTCTTGCTTGTTTTGTTTCCTCTCCTTCTCTGCTCTCTTCCCAGCTCCCTGCATTTGTTTATAGGGCTGCCATCACCAAAGTACCACACACTGAGTGGCTTAAACTACAGGAATTTATTATCTCACAGTTCTGAAGGCTGGAGGTCCAGGATCAAAGTCAGCAGGGCCACGCTTGGCTTTAGGGAGGGGTCTGTGCCGGCCGCTGTCCCAGCTTCTGGTATTTCCTTGGCTATGCAGCATGAGGCCAATCCTCACATGGCCTTCACTTTGTGTGCATGTCTGTCTCTGTGTCCAAATTTCCCCTTATACAAGGACATCAGTCATATTGGACCAGGGACCCATTCTGCTCGACGACGACCTCATCTCAGCTGATTACATCTGCAACACCCCTGTTTCCAAATCAGGTCACATTCTGGAGTGCCGGGGGTTAGATATTCAACATATGAATTTTTGGGGAACACAATTCAACTTATAACACCAGATGTAAATGTAGGATTTTGTCACTTTGTAAGTTAGTTAAGAAGATGACGCTCTGTTCAGAGATGAACTAAAAGAGGTCATGGCTGCCCTGACTGGTGTGGCTCAGTTGGTTGGAGTTCATCCCATACACCAAAAGGTGGCGGGTTCTATTCCCGATCAGGACCCATACCTAGGTTGTGGGTTCAATCTCCCAATCACATGTGGGAGGCAGCTGATCGATATTTCTCACATTGATATTTCTCTCTCTCCCTTTCTCAAATCAATTAAAAAAATCACACACATAAAATAGAGTTGCTGGGCACAGTCATTGCAGTAAGCTGTGCATCCTGGTGGAGCGCCTGCCACGCCAGCATCCTTGCGGTTTTCTTTAAGGTCAACAGCAAGGAAGCAGGAAATGTTCCTGGTTACCAAATCCCTACTCTTATTCCCACTTGCCGCCCTGTTAAGGTTGCCAGACTTAGGAAATAAAAAGCCAAGATCACAAGCAGTTAAATTTGAATTTCAGATAAACTACAAATACTTTCTTTTATTGTAAGTATATCTCAAGTTATGCATGGGACATAATTACACTAGAAAATTATTCTTTATGTGAAATTGAAGTTTAACTGGCTGTCCTGTATTTTGTCTGCCTACCATACACCCTACCCAGCTCTGGCGAGGAAGAAAATGTCAGGTTTCTGGTGCTACCATTAGATATGGGTCTTCTTTCTGATTAAAATACCACAAAGCATCTGGTATTATGGCAAGCAACCTATAGACTGTAAAAGGTCAGCAAAGACTAGAGGTTTGATTCTTAGCACAGACAGACTCAAGGCCTGCTGGCTTCCCTTCTGATATAGAACAGGTGACTTCGAGCAGTCTAAGTGTTTACAAGGTTGTTTGGCACTGTGCCACTGATTTGCTGAATTGTCTTGGGCAAAGCACTTAACATCTGGGTCTCCATCTCTCATCTGCAAAATTGAAGGTGACGGGTCCCTGCCTCAACCCGTGTTTCCTGAAGACAGGAACCTCTAGGAGGCCTCCCAGGCACTTGCCACTCACAGTGTTCACAGACCACACTGTTGGCATCCCCTGGGAACTAGAAACTCAGCCTCTCCGGCCCCACCGTATACCTGCTA